AAAAACAATTCAAGCTTTTTTAAAAATCAATAATGAGATGGTAAGAGCATAAGATCTTGAAGACTGAGAAGCTTGTTTTTGTATTTAGCATTTTAACTCATTGTGTTTGGAGTCCTTAGAAGGAATTAACTCTTGCATTTAAAATAGATATCTTGACCAATCTATATTTTTGCTTCATTTAAAATTTTTTTATTATATGTTGTTCTCTACAGAAGCATGATTTATGACAGTGCAGGATAAAGAAGTTTCTGAGGACTTTCAAAAATACATACTTCTGGACTCCTTACTAATTAAAATGTTTCATTGCAAATGTTTATGGATCTTTTTATGTTTATTTTCCTCCTTGGTCTTCAAAAATAATTTTTAAGAAATATTAAGAGGAAATGATTTATATGCTCTAAATATGCTTCAAAAATTGTGTATTCCTGTTCAATCAAATTTTGGTCAAGTTTTTATTAGGTTATTGAAAATTACAGGTTTGGAGTGATTCTGCATACCTGTATATATGGTCATAAAATGTACCCAATAGACTGCTCACATAGGCTATCTACATTTGTTGAACTAATAAGACATTTTGACCTAATATGCTAGTTAGCCTGATTTTAATTCTACAGTATATACATCACATTATATCCATAAATATATAGGATTGTTTCTTGTCAACTAAAAATAAACCAAAACTAACTAAACAAAGCACCATGACTTCAAAAATCTAAAGGCTTTTGGATTTAGTGGAAGAAGGAGTGGAAAGGGAGATGATAAGGACTAATAAAAATGAATTAGGGACAAATAACAGTATGTTAAAATGCTATAAAAAGCCACCTGTGTTATCCCACACCTACAGTCTTAGCCACTTGGGTGGCTGAGATTGGGAGGCTTGTAATTAAGAGGCCAGATTGGACACAAATTTTATATCTGATAAAAATTGTGCACAGACTCATATTTCACCCCAACTACATAGGAGGTATACATTGTGGTCCAGCACAGCCCTCGCAAAAGACCCTATTTGAAAAATAACTAGTATAAAAAGGGTTAGGGGCATAACCCAAGTGGTAGAGCACTTGTCTAGCAAATAAAATGTCCTGATTTCATTAATTCTCTCTCTCACACACACACATGCACACACACGCACACACACACACACACACACACACACACACACACACACACACCCTATAGCAAGCATAGAGAGAAGAATAAATAATTCTGAATAACTAACATGATACGACTTTTCAAGGTAAAAATAAATTCACAGGTGCAAAGGGAAGAAATTCAAAGGAAGCAAAATAATATGAGTAAGAAAGGCATGAAATTAAGGTTTTGACTACTTTGGGTCATTTGATCTCTATACCCACTATACTCAGTATTAGTTCTATCCAATGAAGTGAGTTACATGCTATGCTCAAAATTCTCAGTTTTGGTCCTGAATACATTGAGATGATTACTTTTCAATTTACTCTAAATATGTAACCTGCAATTAAACATAATGTTTTACCTTTACAGTGGTAGAAATGATCTGTAGAATAATGCCATTTGACTGATACACATGTATTACTAAACTTAAAGGATTATCATTACTATTTGTGTGTGTGTGTGTGTGTGTGTGTGTGTGTGCTAGTGTTGGGGCTTGAACTAAAGGTTTCACACTGGCTTCTGGCTTTTTCCTCTCAAGACTGGTGCTGTACCACTTGAGCCACATCTCTGTGTCTGGCCTACTGCTGGTTAATTGGAGATAAGAGTCTCACCAATTTGTTTGCTTGAGTGGGTTTTGAACCATCATCCTCAGATCTCAGCCTCCTAAGTAGCTAGGATTGCAGGTATAAGACACCAGTGCCTGGCTTGGGATGATTTTTAGTTACCTCATGTAATATAAGGTTTTGAGGCCTTGTTTAATGAAAAGACTAGGTAGAATATCTATAGTAAAGTTTTCCATGTAAGAAGAAATGCTTGTGTGTAGGTAGTTTGGCACACAAACACTAACAACACAGGGCGACCTTAAATCAGGCAATAATAAGTAAGTAATTTGAAAAGGGAGAAAGAAGTACCTGTTTTGGAAGGACATAGAAACACAGAATATCTTGAAAAAATATATAATCTCCTGTAGCTCCTTCCATAGGAAAAGCAAATATGTTTCATTGATTATCAATCTTGAGCTTTGCTAGCTCTTAGTAACCTCTAAATTTGTGCTCTTATGGCTAACACTATTGGCACTTCTAAATCATTCCCTTAATTTCTTGCACATATTTATACAACAGTGTTTAATAACTATGGAATTTTACTTCAGAAAACGAGAAATGGCTAACTACTTAATTGAAAAAACCATTTGTTAAAAATATTTGTACACTCTTATTTAGTATAGAACTTTATGAATACTCAATAAACATTTTAAAATATTATACACTAAAATCTATGGCTAGGGTTGATAAGTCAAGTAACCTAATGAACCAATTATTCACTTAAGTTTCAAAACTACATCATCTTCTGCCAAAGCTTCTTCCCCAACAGCCCCAACATAGAGAGTCCTTTAATTCAGACTGGTTAATTTCTGAGTATTTCTGATTATTTTTCTCAATATAGCATATTAGGCTGATTTATACTTCCTTTCCAAGTATTTAGGCATATCATTTTCTTATGTTTTCTATACCTTCCTACTTAGTGGAAACATTTTTGTTCTTGGAGTGTGCTTTGTCTTTCTTTTCAAGAAGATCATCAAAGTTACTAGTTTGCAGCTTCCTAAAAGAAAGAGCCTTCTAATCCCTAGTTCAGAGGCTAACCTTTATTAGTGCTCTTGTGGTTATAATGAGGACCCTGCTTCCAGCAGGGAGATGCTGGAATACTGAACAGATTATTCAACAAGTTCAGAGCAGATTCTGAAGTCCCTTATAAAACCTGCTTGTGAATGCTTCTTTCTTTGCTTTACCGTTTCTGGTTTCCACAGTATTCCCAATTACATAAATCATGTGGAGCCAGGGAGCTATTTTATATCCAATATCAGTTCTGACACTGCTTACATTGTGATACGATTTTAATCTTTTCCCCCCAAGTTTACAAAGTTGGGGGGGGAGCAGGAGTAGAGTTTTGTGGTAGAAAAATCAACTAAATGCTTTTATTGGCATTGGTCAGGTTGACATAAAGAATCCAAGTTATTTTGTGACAAATGTAGATAAATGATGAACCTGATGAAAGTTCTCAAGTTTAAATTTAAGATTATTATGTGAGTTTAAAATATATCACTTGCTTCACAATTGTTAAAAACTTTTGTTCAAATTTAGTACCTATCAATGTAGTGCTTGGCAATATTCACAAATATGCTAGGCTAAATGAGTATTCCCATTAAAGGTGGGTCAATTAAAATTTAATAGTAATATATGAATGTTATAACCAATGTATAAATGTTATAGTTGTTAACTGGGAGTTCTTGAGCTTTCTTTAGAAAAAATTATAATCACAATTTTATTTGTATGTTTTAAGATTTAGGAATTGTACTTCTGAAAATGAGTTGTTTCTCTTTTTTATTTTTATAGTATATATGATCTTATAGATATTTGAAAAGTTTGAGGCACCTGCTGTGGTAAAACTTCTAAACAAAGATTTATGTTTTAAGAGTGTAAAAATGGGATAGGTGAATGTCAAGAATTCAGGTTTTTTCTAAAACTAGATGAATGAAATTTATGCATACATCTGAGAACATGCCATAATTTCTTTTTAATTTTATTTACAATGGCAAAAATGTTTATTGCTAGCTTCAACATTCTCCTAAGCATTGAATACATTTGACTTTTAGTTGTGCTTTAGAAAAAGTCATAGAACTTAGGAGCCATAAAATGCACAACTCTGACTGAGAGCAAATTTCAGCAGAAGTTATTTGCATAACTCAGCCTCTCAGCAGCTTAGCTGAACTTAATTGTAATTCAGTTTCCAGATCGCTATGCTAGACCTCTTCACATAAAATAGACAACATACAACACAAGCAATGCACAGACCTATTTTTTCTTCTGGTGATCTAGTTCTGTTTTCCTAGTAAAAATATATACTAGAATAAGACAGACAGAGACATATAGCTATTTTATATGTGTATGTTTGAACCATATACAGTATAAACATTGAAATAAAGACCAAGTTATAAGAGTGTTATGATTTTTATCTTCCTCTGGGTTCCCAATGATGCCTAAGATTTCTGACTTTTCAGAGGAAAATTAAATCTTGAAAAATATTTGCTACTTGCCATGTTATTTGACTGCTTTACACTAGAAAGACTTTATAAGCTAATCATGTGAAGAACTGTATAAACATGTCTGTCAAGTCCATATGGATGTTGCATTACAGGCCCCCAAGTAAATATCTTTTATCTGTTTACAAAGCTCATGCTGGAATAGCACTTCAGAATCTTGACTAGTTTATATCCCAGGGACTTAAAAAAAGTATGATAGAATACTTCCTTCAGATTCTCCCCCTACTTTTTTTAAACAGTCTTGCCACCCTGTTTTATGGGTTATTTAAAGAATTGCAATAATAAGCCTGGAAACAAGATGGCTCATAAAGGTGTGGATTATATTTTATGAATAATTTCCAGATGTGATGTTTTTGGTACATAGATTCCACTACAGGAGGCTATACACAGAAACAACATGGGTCTTACAATTTTATCAGGACAATGCAAGTAGATTTCAGCAAGGTTGGTTCCAACTCATCTGTGATAAATGAGAAGATAAGGCAATCAGTGCACACCATGACACTCGGTGCAGCTAGTTAGGCACACTTCAGAACTATTCAGGTGTGCTCACAAAGCTTATGAGTCTTGCTTGGGGCGGGGGGTGTCTCAATATAAATACATCCTCATGGTGGCCACTAGTAATGCAGGAATTGCCTGTCTTAAGACTTAACCTAGGTCAGATATAAATAATAGATGTTAAGAGTTATTTCTGGCATTGGGGCTGGGTTCCAGGCAATGCATTTTGGTTGGGTCAAAAGAATATTTTTCCCTATCTTTTCTTGAATAGTTCCTCTGCTTGAAAAATGCCTGCAAAATTCCATCACACCTTTGCGGGGACCACTTTGGGTCTCAAAGGGAGAAGGTTTCAGCCCCTCAGGAGCTAAGATGTACATCCAAGAAGTTCTTTTGGCCCTGTACCAACGATTAAAGTCTGCAAAAAAATATTACGAACAGGTGAGTCATCCCCCTTTTAGAATTTTATTGTTTGTTTTAAAAGTGTACTTGGTTTTATAGAACAGCAATTAGCATCGTGTCATAAAAGAACTGTGACAAGTATTTTGTGAGCTCAGTGCCTGTTAGGGAGCCAAAGGGCTTCTATAATCTGAAAGCCAACAATAATTGGGCTAATTGTATCTGTCTTTTGGTATGGGATGTCATATGTCTCATCTTTTCTTGGCGTGCAACATGCAAAGCAAAGGCAATTCCTTATGTGAAAATTCTATAACCAGTTACTTTAAATAAGAAAATGAATAGCTCCTAAGTCATTTGAAGATTTAGCTTTCTGAACTTTTTCCCACCAGGGTAAAATCAGAATGCTATTGTAGAAGTTAAGCTAAAACAAAACAAGTCACAATCCAAAGCAATGGAATTGTGAATTAGCTGCATTCCAAGGGAAACTTTATTTATACTTATTTTCCTGGTAAGTTTCAGTAGTCAAAGAATAGAAGCATGATTAATGTATTTTTATTACGGTAGATTTGTCCTTTAAATATCCATTCCAAACTGTGTGTGTGTGTGTATAAAGACTAATGTTTTAATAGTCATATACAGTGATTTTCGATTTACCTTAAAGTAGGATCACATTATAAAGCAGAATAAATGGTGTCATTTGAAAAGTAAAAATCGAGTTGCAACATTAAAAAAATCCTCTTTGAACTTAGACTTAAGAAGTGAAACATTTTTACCATGTTAAATATGGACTGAATTTTACATTTAGAACTGGGAGATTTCAGTTTCGAACTGGGCTCATTATCTTACACCACAGGATGCTGAAAGTAACTATTTTGAAAGCATCATGCTACCCTCTGCATACTGTCTGCATGCAGAGCGAGAAAGGGGAGGGAAGTGGGAAACAAAAGCCAATCTCAGTGTTCATACAGCACCTCCTGCTGTCTGGTTCAGGAAGTGTTGGAGTGAAGGATCCAGAACTACCAAGAAATGTTTTCCCAGGAGAAACTTTTATATAAAAAATATGTGTGGTTTGACCTGTAACTAGTTCCAGTGGATCTAGAAACAAAATTGTTCATAACAATATATAAGCTTATTCACAATAATAAACAGAAAAACATCTAACCTTTTACAATGGTCTTTATGAAGCTATCATATAAAAACTGGTGTTAAATTTTAATTGTATTTAATGTAAGCTAAAATGTTTTAATTTTAAGATATAATTATATGTAACTAATTTTAAATAATGTGATATGATAAAATGGATTATGACTAATTGAATTACAATCATTTATCTGATATACATTTCGATTTAACTTATTAGGAGGTGTAATAATTTAATTTTGAATCATATTATTAAATATTATTTATTTGATGTTAAAACATGAAATTTCCAATATAAAGATACTGTTTAAATAAAAATCTAAAGAGAAACATTTTTTAAGTTTTGTTAAATGTGAGAATGATCAAGATGAGAAAAATAGTAAAATTTAAGTCAGTAAGACTAATAGGAAAGAATGTAGATTTAAGAGTTCTATGTATTGTAAGAAGAGAAATACCTTGAGAATTATTGCTTTGACTAAAAAATTCTTTGACTCAAATTTGATGAGCACTATATTGTGTTGATATTAAGTGTAAATATGAACAAAATTTAATACTTTTAATCTGTCCATAGTTGTAAGAATTTTAACATTATGCTAAACTTAAGACTACTTAGCACCACAGACTTTGTATTCTTACCTATGTCTCACTAAGTTGAAATAATTAAAACTTCATAAAAATATTTCAGTTGTATTTTAAAATATGAAAAGGAAGAAAAGGCAATGCAATTTTCCTGTTACACATTTCCATGTAGGTTTTTTATATTGTTAGTCATGTTCAGTTATATGTATTCTGCAGTCTCTATTCCATGACTTAGTTGTGACACCATGACTTTATATGTTAAATTATTTCCAATGTCTAGAAAAATCACTGTGATGGTAGCATTATCAAGCCTTCACTGGTTAATTGTTAAACCTGGCAGTATCTTTATGAGTAGGATTTAAAGAAAAATCAAATATCTCTTAGCGTTAATAAATATTTGAACTACATGTATTTAACTTGACCTTTGGGATAGTCTTTTATATCTGGTTTTATGTAAGATTGTGATAAGGAATTATAGATAAGTGAAATGTGGATGGACTTTTTTTTTAGCAAGTCTAAGTTTCTAAATTATAGGATATATTAGCTCAATATAATTTCCATTTATTATACTTCTGACATCCCATATGAAAATCATGCTGCTTTGCTGCTTGGCAAATAATTATAGACTGTAAATTTTGACATTCTTTGAAAATCTTTTGGCTGAATTGTGATAGTATAGCTTCAAAAGAAAAATCAGGGCTACTGATTTTATGTTTATGAATTTACTCATTTTTTAACTTTTAACTTTAGCTTAGCTGTTATAGTATGCAACTGAATTAAGCACACTACATTAGGGTGGTCTTAAATATATACTGATTCATGTGTATTAAAATGAGATACTATAGGACAGCATAAAATCACTTAGTCTTACATTTATCACATTTATTTCCTTAAAAGTGGAAATATCTTCAAAATTGCTCAGAGCTAAGCAGAATCTATTTAATTGGTAATCTTTGAAGTAGCATAAATGCTTCCTATGAAATGTATTTAACACTTTCAAGGACAGGGCCTTTCCATCTCATTAGCATTCTTGTTATGTAGTGGTGCTGTTGGTGGGGGTGTTGAAGTAGGAATGCTATTGTGTGGAGTTCCAGTGTTTGGGGACAAACACTGCTGTGGAAGGAACGTGTGAAAAGACCACAGTCCTGTCAGTGAATGAGGAAGGCTGTGCTTTCTGTGTGTTTCAAGCAGGGAAGCTGTCATTCATGGGCCTAACACAGCCAAACAGAGGCCAAAACACAAGCCTGCACTACCTTTTAAAATGATATTAGCGGTTTTTAAACATGATCTTCTTTATTTATGATGTTATGTAGAGCTTTTGGTTGCTGTCAGTAAACAAAATATGTCAGTCTGTTCAGAAATACTGTAAAGATGAATAAAAGTCCATGGATCTGTGCCAGGCAGCTATATAAATAACTGCTCCTGATGGCTGATGGGCAGTGTTAAAAGTACAAACGTGATTTGGAAGAGACTTTCATTTCTGGAAACATCTTCTGGATTTAGATAGCTCTTCCTCAACCCAGCTTCCCTAACAGAATTATCCATGATTTTTTAAAATAACAAATGTATATGGCTTTTTTTCTTTTTTCAAAAATACTAATTTTAAAAGAGCTCATTTCACTTTCAGTATTAATCATTCAAAACAGTTCCTGGATTATCTTAGTTGGTATAGATTACAGTCATTTTTTGAAGTTCAGAAAATTACAAAGAAAATGCATATTTCATGGTAACATATTAATTATGAAATCATAGAGTCCTTGTGCTACTTAAGGCCTAAAAATGCATTTATCTTGAAAGTAAGAAATTTGAGGCAATTTTTAATTCTACTTTAAATTTTTAGCATCTTGAAAAGAAACTCATCAAGCTTCATGTTAAATTTATACCAGTCTGATTATTTAAACAAAACTAGACAAAAATATCCACAGTATTTTTTTAAGATTTTTTAAGGCATTTTCTAAACTTCAGCAGTACACTGAAAAACATAGAAATTTCTGTTTATGTTTGAAGTTTCAGGGAAAGGTGTTATTTCTTTAATTTTATCTAGAAAAATGTATCATTGGGTCTATTTTAAATAAATAATTAATAAAGTTTTCTTAGAATAATACATTTTTTTGCCTGAGTACTTCCAATTTGTTTTTGTGTGTATATGTGGTCTTTTTTAGTTTTTTGAACTAATTTAAGCAAAACAACTTTTAAAAATGCTGTTGTATGTTACTTCTAAAAGTTCTATATTTGATGTGCTGGATTGAAAAATTTAGATAGTGAGATTGAAATTTTGTTTCAAAACTTAGGTTTCTCTATTTAAAATGGAACCATATTGTAGGTTTACTTCTGTGAATATATTGTTGGATAAAGAAATAGGCATCAAACTTCAGACTATATTGGTTCTTCAATTTAAAATTAAAACTTATTTTTATTAATATCTAAATTCCATTCTCTTAAAGCATGATAATTTAACAATTTGTAAAGCCTATCCTTGATTCACTTTGCCTACACTCGCAATAAATTTGATAATTAGACATAAAATAATAGTAGTAATACAAATATTCTATTCAGAATTGCTTCTGGTTAAAATATAGTTGAATTACATTTAATGCTGACAGAATATGCTCATCACCTTATTTTATAAAGGATATGTTGGAAGTTTTTGTTTTTAGATCCTATGTTTTAGGTCAATCAAAATCATTTATGAATCTCAGCATAAGTGAAACAATAACTATTTGTTTCATTTTCTGTGCTGTGTATACTTTAAACATTGAGCCCTTGCCTTAACTTAGACTTTCTTGGGCAATACTCAGAATATTTCCGTGTTTGAACCAACTTTAATGTCTTCTGAAACCTTTAAACAAAATCTCTTAGTGCATATATCTAAGTTACATTTAAAAAATAAATGTAGTGTGGCAGGCATTTCAAAATTAGAACTACTTCTGAAGTTTCTAGTAAGTGATTTTTTTTTAAAGAACATTAGATTGTAGATTTGAGGATTGTTGATTTTTTTTCCCTTTCCTGAAACCAAGCTGCATTCTAGTTACTTGAAGTATTTTAAGAACCTTAAACTTGTGTCTTTTTCTAAGTGTCATGCTTTGAACAGGCCTAACATCAGTTAAATGAAGTGAAAATTGCATTCTTGTCTTGATAGAGATGAAAATGGATTTCTGGTCATGAAATAGATGTAGTTGTCACTTTTTAAAAAAGGTGTCAGCAGTTTGCTTCAGCGAGTAAGGTGCCAATTCAGTATGGCAGTAAACTTGTGATCTGAGCAATCAATAAAATGCTTCAATAACTTCTGCTTCATTACACTTATAATAAGAGGCTATAGATCC